CTTCCCGCCTAAAAAACTTTCACGTGCCTCTACGTGAGAACCACGCGGACCCGAACGCCCATTTCGAGGATACGAGCCCGCACGTATGTGTAGATTAAGTCACCAAATTTTCAGCCTTGTAACTTTTGTGGATCTCGTGATGAAAACTCGTTACAGACGCACACACAGACACACACACTTACATACACACAGACACAAACACACAGACAATCTCTCTACAATATGCGTTTTTGCACTGCATAGCTGCAAAAAACGCATAACTAGACGCATGACATGCTTTTGTGGTAGCTGATAAGCAGCTCTATGTTGTGTAGGAAACTACGTAAAACGCAAGATATCTGCCGCTTCTTGCGTGAAATTTTTTTGTACGTCTTAAAATGCATAAAAGCTTATTATTACAAGTCTGCGTGCATATTTGATTGTGTGTGTGCAATCGCCTAGACACAGATGCTACAAAATCAGTGGACTTTGTATTACTGGCGCAGAGTGCTGCTTCGATCTTTCAGAAATACTTGAATTACTAAGGGTAGTTGACACTGTGCTGCAACGGCGCTAGGATTGATAAAGGGTCAGTGAAGCGACTGACACCTTAGCCTTATCGTCACTATAATGCTAAACGATGTCTGTTTGCAGCGACATTCCCGAGCAATCAGTCCGTTCACAGATCCGGTTGGAAAAAGGCTGATCACAACGGTGGATCGTTCACGTGATATGCCGAAGCGATATTTCGATGCGCTGGCCGGTCAGTCACTGGGTAAACGTTCCGACAATGAACTGTACGAATCGTTCTCAATCCCCACTGACCCTCAGTTTTATGACATCTGATCCCAATAGACTTTGATATTTTATGCGTGAAAAGGCATTGTGTGTGTATCCCAACTTCCCTCGCTCCTACTTTCCTCTCCCTCCCTGCCTCATCTGTTCCACTAGTGTGATGCTTGAAATATAAATTGTTAAAAATCATTTCTTTTTATCTGTCCATATCAGTTGTGGTAGTTGAACACTGCACAGCATCTCTCCTGTAAAATATGTTTGAAAACTAAGCAAGAGTGTGAAACTCGGAGGGCCACGTTTTTACCTGATCAGTGCTATATGTTCACAGCGATTACTTTCTTTTCAAAGCATGGTTGTTGGAAAAGCGGATGAACAAGCTGGCTGTAATGTGTAGAGCGACTAAAAAATGCTCAAAAAATCCTTGCCACAATAAATAAGCGATCTCTCGATCAAATCGTTCCATAAAAATCGTCATGAGTACAGTAACAAGTAAAATTTGCCAAACAGCGTGTCCGCTATGACAGCATCCAGAGGACGCAACCGAACAGTGAGTGACACCCACAAGAAAGAAGAGAATGACTCAGATGTGTTTAGGTGTAGAAACAGCAAAAAACAGGCTTAAGGCGAGTAATTCAGAACAAAGCGGACTTGACAGACCTACATCTTGGATGCGAGCGCATTTCGATAACATTCGAATGATCCTAAAACCCGTGAGAAAAAGGATCCGAGAATTATTCGCTCTGTTTATCACTATTTTCGAAAGCAACACACTAATACTTTCTTTGGCTGTAGCGTCTTTTTTTAGCTATGCATCTAGTAACATTCATCATGCTCCACCAAATTCATCCTTTTCCTCAAACGAGGAGCTTCCGAAGAGTCAGTGTACATACAGACGACGGGTACCAAGTGGAGGCATGTAATCCAGAATAAAAAGGCCTGACAAAGCTGCGCCAAGCATATGGGATTTTCCCGGTAGCATCATTTACATGGGATACCCATGCTGATAGACCGGTCGGTCTTTGTATTCATGGCATAAGTAAGCAGTGTCAAACTGTTATTTTAAGGAAACCAGCATCATGTTTATACCCCATTAAGAAAATCTGCCCTAATAGGTTTTGCAAAGAATTGAAAAGAACTAGATTTGCTCAGCTGATTTGCATAAAACTCTCCTAAAGAGATAATTTCGAATCCGTCATTTTGAGAAAAGAAAAAGAAAAAGACAACAATCAGCTACTAAAGAAATTGCAAAAATGCCTCGTTTTTTACTCATTTTATTAGTGATACCAACTAATCCATACTAATCCCACTCGTAAAATCATCAGGGGTAGGAAAAAGGAGGATAAAAAGACGCTTTCGGAATTTTTTGCTGTGAAGTGGACGCTTAGATTAAGTGAGTGGGAAGAATAAATGCAAAATGTTGAACAATTCGGTCAAACAGTGGCCCAGAAGCTTGCCAGAGAAAACTAAAATTCAGCTTTGCAGATGCAGAATTTCACGAATTGGCGCACTGATTGGCATAAGTTTGTTTGAACAAGACGTTACCATCAACTCGGAAGTGTTAAATTGAATTGGATGGCAGATAAATTCTTTCACAAATTTTAAAATTAACTCTTGAAATTGAAAAAAACAAACGAAAAAAAACTTGAAATTTCACACATTTTGAAAAAAAAAAACAAACTGAAACAAAACCCAGGCTGGAATGCACTGGGCGGGCGCGTACGATCATGCGTTTTTGTACCGGACTTGAATTACTCAGATCATTAACTGTACGAATAGCTGTTGCTTTACACCTACCTGTTGCGGTCACTAGCATAAATCACCATAAATTTTGCAAAGTAAATTGTACAACTTCCATTTAACAGTTGTTCTTTAAAAGTAACCTAGTTGTTCAGTGAGAAATTTTCTCGTCTAGACTTAAGTGCTCTTACATAAGAACCACGCATATCTCAAGGCTGAATTTGAAATACTTAAGTTGTACTTTGACAGGGAACACTCCCTCAAAATTTCAACTTTTCACCTTTTCTGTTACCGAGTTAGCAGTTTTCCTGCTAAAACCTTCACATACCCGTACTTGGGTACTCCACGTGTTTGAAAAGCTGGATTTGAAATTTTTAAATCGCACGTGGGCAGGGAATATCCGTCTAAAATTTCAGCCCTCCAGTTCTTCTGATTGCCGAGTTAGTAATTTTCCTGCAGGAACTTTCATACGCCCTTACGTGAGT